GATAGGATAGGATAGGATACATAGCTGTAGATAGCAGAGGTGGTATTCAACAGGTTCTGACCAGTTCTGCAGAACCAGTAGCGGAAATTTTGAGTAGTCTGGGGAACCGGCAAATACCACCTTTGACTGGAGATTTTACAGTATCCTTCCCCTGCCACGCCCACCAAGCCACACCCACAGAACTAGTAGTAAAAAAATTTGAATCCCACCACTGGTTAATAGATACAGTAGATAGATAGATAGATGGATGGATGGATGGATGGATGGATGATGGATGGATGTGGATAGTTGATAGATACAGTAGATACGGTATACAGTAGATATGATAGATTAGATAATAGATTAGATAATAGATAGATGTAGATAGTTGATAGATACAGTAGATACAATAGATTAGATGATATAGTTGATAAATACAGTAGATACAGTAGATATAGTAGATCAGATAGATAGATAGATAGATAGATAGATAGATAGATAGATAGATAGAGATCTGTAGATCGTATCATAACTAACTGTAAACTCAAGGCATATTCCAGACCAGTATCTGACTTCTTTTAGATAAATGAAGCTGGCTTTAATGGTTAGATGGTCTAGACATTTAATCTGAATGTGTTTTTAATTTAGGTGAAGTGCTTACATATGTTCTAAATCCATGTACGTTATGCCACATACTAAATAAGTATCTCAGGACTATATACCCAATCCGAAAACCAGAAAGTGGAAAGCATTGCGCACACTTTCTCCAACAGAAGGAGATTTGTGCACCCACCGCTAATCGCCTTTAAAACATGCACCCACGTGCATACAAATTGAGAAGGGGGGGGGGATTTCTTCTTTTAAAAGGAAGGGGAAACTTGAGGGCTCTTCTACTCACTTCTCCAGCGTAGCGATTGCGCAGGTTGAGGGAAGCCATGAAGTTGGAGTAATCTTTCTTCACGCAGGTGGGCCTTTCGGTTAACTGCGTGGCCTAGAGGCAACAGACATGGTCGTATTTTCAGTTTTGAGAATAGAGGGAGAACTTGGATGCTCAGGGGGAAGCCAGGAACGGACGGGACTTTGCGACTAAACTAAATCCTGGTCACCCACATGCAATATCACGACTCCGCCCTTTTGATGAAAGAGTATGGCAGAGTGGCTCAGAAAATGATTGAACATCTGGAACTTCAGATTCTGCCTATCGGGTATCCTTCTGCAGTCTGGTCTCCGAGCTTGGTGGTTTTCTTGTAGACGTTTCATAACCAAATTAGGTCACATCATCAGGGCGATTGGGGATGGCATTCTCCCACCAAGGAGAAATTTAGATTATTTTTTTTCCCCTACCAAAACTCTCGGCTTCCTCCTACCAAGGAGAGAAGCACAAACCCACCAACACTGGCAGGGTAAGCCACTATATAGAAACAGGAAGCAAATCCCACTTACTCTTGCATTCATATCTAGTTGGGTCATGAAATGTCTGCAAGAAAACAACCGAGGTCAGAGAGCACCAAGGACCCCACAGTTTTCCTCCCTTCTAATACTGATGACATTCCTCAATTGGGTCATGAAACGTCTGTAAGAAAACAGCAAGCTCAGAGGCCACCAAGGACTCCATAGACTGTGTACTTACAAACAGGGGGGGATTTCATTTTTGTGGGGCTGAACACAATCCACTCCCACAGAAGTGGGAGTTGAAAAACAGTTTTCTGATCAAAGCTTCCTGAGACCATAATTAAGCACACACGCTTCATCCAAACAACTGTTCTATTTCAATGCTGGGAATTATGTTCATTTCCAGCCGGTAATAGTCCCAAACAGTCCCTCGAGATAAGCACCCACCTTTATCTCCTTCAAACCGCTGCGAACTAAAGTGCCAAATGAACTATAAAAGACCCAACTAAAGTACAAAACCCACGCAGAGCTTCAAGGTTTAATCCGAACAGAGAAAACAACTTTGCTTCCTGCAAAGGTTTTCCTACCTTTGCACTTCCTTTATACCTTATGAGAGGGGCAATCACCTCCAAGCCTTACTCCCGAGTCGCCCCTTTTGTCTCAGCTGCTCTTGCTGTCTAGCAGCTCTGTGCGTATGCGCACTGGGAACAGGCTGCCTTGGTTCCTCTGCCTCGCTGCTTCCAGACTCCGAAGGCTCCGGAGTCAGCACCCCACTCCCAGATGGTCCTGGCCCCATCCCTGCATCGGATGCAGGACCCTCGTCCGAGTCCTCTCCAGATCCCGGACTGGTCCCCCGTTCTTCCCCACTGTCTGATTCTGCTGCCGTCTGCACAGGCTGCTGGCAAACCACAACAAGCAGGACGTTTGCCCCAGTGAAGAGAACTTACCCCCAGGGTTGTATTTTGCTTGTTGTAGCCTGCAAAGTGGAGAATGCTCTCTGTTGCCATAGCCAACCCAGTGTGCTGTGACAGGCCTGACACCCAGTTCTGGTGCTTGTTCAAATATTCCTGGAAAAAGGGGAAGCCAAAAGCAGTTGCAGTTCAGAAAAATTCTCTGTGTGTGTGTGTGTGTGTGTGTGTGTCTTGTTGTCGTTGCTTTGCTCTGCACATTTCCCCTGGCCGGATTCCCCGATTTCCAAGACGCAGTGCAGTCCAAGAGACAATAAAGATGTGGAAGATTTACCTGCAGGTGAGATTTGGTGACGGAAGGGGCCCATTTCATGGCTTCCTGGAGGATCATGCCACACCGGGCGGCAAAATCTTTCACAATGCTCTAAAGAGAGAGAAATAGAATAAAGTAATGTCTTGCAAGTGCTTGACTGCAGAAGTATAATAAAGCCAATATCCCACTGGACACATGTGCCTTGGTTTTTGAGAGTCACTTATTTTTTTTATTTTTATTTGTTTTATTTTGTCAAACGATTATAAGATAACAGGTATAAGTATAAACATAGTTATGAATACATGAAAAATAAAAAGAAACAATAGGACAGGGATGGTAGGCACATTGGTGCGCTTATGCATGCTCCCTACAGACCTCTTAGGAAAGGGGTGAGGTCAACAGTAGACAGTCTAAGGTTAAAGTTTTTGGGGTTTGGGGAAGAAACCACAGAGTCAGGTAGAGTATTCCAGGCATGGACCACTCTGTTGCTGAAGTCGTATTTCCTGCAATCAAGTTTGGTGCGGTTTACCTTGACTTTGTATCTATTGTGTGCTCTTGTGTTGTTATGGTTGAAGCTGAAGTATTCATTGACAGGTAAGACATTGCAATGTATAATTGGCGACTAATGGAACAAATCTACCCAGATTTGCAATGTTTTTAGAAGTGGTTTATTCGTAGAGTTTTTGAGAGAGAGGGACAGGCCCAAAGTCACCCAGCTGACTTTGGACCTAAGGCAGGACTAGAACTCACGTCATCTTCCAATTTCCAGCCTGAGGCATTTCATCATCCTGGTTCAGCTTGCCTTTGAGCCGTTTTGGGACTCTTGACCTATTGCCTCTGGCCAAGATTTTTGAAAATGTTTTATCGTTTCTTTCTTCCTAGGGCTGAGAGAGAGTGACTGGCCCAAGGTTACCCAACCAGCTTTTGTGCCTGAGGCAGGACTAGAATTCAGAGGCTCCTGTCATAGCGGCACAGTAGTGAGAATGCAGCATTGCAGACTGACTCTGCCCACTGCCAGGAGTTTGAACCTGACCGGCTCAAGGTTGACTCAGCCTTCCATCCTTCTGAGGTGGGTAAAATGAGGAGCCAGATAGTTGGGGACAATATGCTGACTCTGTAAACCACTTAGAGAGGGCTGTAAAGCACTGTGAAGCGGTATATAAGTCCAAGTGCTATTGCTATTCTAACCTGGTATCTTTAAGCAGCATATCACTAGGTTGCAAAAAAAATCCAGACGTTGTTTATATCCGGAGTTCTTCAGCCCAGATATTATATGTGTAGTAGAGAACTGGATTTCCAAAGATGATGTCTGTCCATAGACACAGAAAATTATAAGGAAGACCAATTTTTTTCTCAACACCCTGCCCCTGTCGCCTATAACAGAAAGGCCACGGCTTGGCATAGTTTGTTAACCTAAGGAATTCTCTTTATTTTAACGAAGCAAACCACGGCGTAAGACAATGGGCCAACCCAGTCAAAGACGTACAAAATTTGTATTATTTTTACCTCTCTGGCTTCATAGGTATCAGGGACAGTAATTCTATATGGGGCATCTGGAATGTCATAATACGGTTGGTCCTTATGGATATCCTAAAACAGAAAAGAAACAGATAGTGCGACATTATTCCAAAGTGATTCCTAAGGAGAAAACCAATTTCTTAATTCAGGAATAGGGATGCCCACACAAATCAGGTTCCCTTTTTTTTAAAAAAAATATACATTTTTCTTTAACATATATGTGTTTAGTAAACAGTGTATTGTCTAGGTCATTTTACATATACGTAATAATAGTAAGAATAATATTTTTACTTGTATATAATAGTATTCTCCCAACTTCTAATGTCTACCTATATTATCTAACCATTGATAAAACAAATTCCAAGTTAAAAAAAAAAAATATTCCGTGTCTCCTTTGTCCTTTATCTTTCATGTTAACCTATCCATTTCCGCCCAAGTTAATATTTTTAAAATTATATTTCCATCTGCGGGAGCATCCTCATTTTTCCAGTGTTGTACAAATACAATTCTCGCTGCTGTCAAAACATGTAGTACTAGCTCGATACCCGTGCTTCACTACGAAACTACGTGATTGGGCTTAAATTTTGTGGAGGAAAATAAGGGGAAAAAAATTTGCCTTCTGCCTACCAGCGTCCATCGGTATTCATCTGGCTAGCATCCTGTCAGTGTGTGTGAGAGTTGAGGGCTGTTTGGAAACTGAAACAGTATTTGCTGTGTGAGCAAGGAGACAGTAAGGAGCCTGGGCGTGGCTTAGCTCAACTGTTCTGTACTAAAGCTGGTTGCTGCTGTGAAACTGAAACTGAAACTGGTACTGAAACTCCTCTGCTTGTGTTTTGCAGTTGGAAGAGATTTCTTTTCCGGTGGGGAGGGGGAGTAGAACTCCTTAGCATCAGAGCATGTTGATTATAGGAAATACGAATGCTCTGATGGTCATTTCGAAAAATCTTTTCTTAGTGAGTCCCTAGAAACCAAGAGGAACATACGAGCCAAATTTCAAGTCTGTAGGCTTTACGGTTCTGGAGATGTTGTGATGATGCATGAGTGGCATTTCACTTTTCTATGTATAGATTAAATTAAATATATGTTCCCTTTGGTCATATTTCAGGTTTCTTGTTAGGTGAAGTGATCATGCCATCATTCCAAAAGAATTCTTAAGCTGTTTAATTCATAATACGAGAGTTGCAGACCGACAGTTCACTCATAAATTACAAAGAAGAAAAAAAAAGTCTCTCTTTTTTTTAAAAAAAAAGCAAAGCCAGCTGTGGTTTTATTCTGCTTGCAATTGCT